CCGTGCTTGTTCGTGTAACAGCCCGTATAGGTCTCGCTAAAGTTTACGCTTCGATCGACCGGCCATGACTGTGCCAGGCGGAAACTTGCCGGAGAGAAACACGTTGTTAGGAAACATGCTGGTGGTGAACGCGGACTGACATTAGCCATCGAAGAACAGATATAAACGTGCCACTCCGACGTTGAAGAGGCTGATCATCTGTTATATCTGTGACTGTGGTATATCACTGGCTGTCAATCTGTGATATGATTTGTCATGGAAAATTTTACTCGGATGACTGTCAGGACAACTGTGGCTGTCAACTATTTGCATAATTATAATGGACTCTAAAGCTGTACCATCCGGCGACGATGCGCCTCATCCTCAAGTACGGACCAGTCTTCACTCGGCTGACGAGATGGACCCTCACAGCAATAGATTCGCTCGGTTGGCTGTGATAGTATTCTACATGTACATACTTGCTTCCAGTCGTTTAGTGTTCACTTCCGTGTTGTATGATGGGCGAGTTGCTGAAAATCACCACACAATTCGTAGCACAAACCGATAAGCAATTACAGTTGCAACATTCACGTATACGCATATTGTAAGCATATGAATGTCCAGGCTTATTTTGTGACTAAACAAGTGCAAAATGAAAACTGGTTGCAGCCGATGTCGTCGAGCTGAATCGCCTTTTCATCTGTGCTTGCTGCAAGTTTTCAGCCTTAAGTACCATTGCTTGGTCTTTAATGTTACACATTCGACCAAATGAGGTAACTTCCAAACGAAAAACATTCACGAGGGTGCGCCGAAAACAAACAAGGTAAAGAACGAAGGCAAATTGTCGCAAAAATTTCTTATGAAAAAAATGACCGAAATTTTCTGCATGTAAAATAGACTGCGAGCGATCGATTTCTAGTGATATCTATGATCTCATTGCTTCCTACTACGTTAAAGTCTAGACGAAATGAGTGAGCTCGTTCCGGTAGGTTGAAAGGTGATATTGTTGTCACCAGCTAATGATATCCTTTCACGACTCAAATCTCACTAAGGACTCAGCTTCTCTGAATCCATTGGACTGGATGACGGTTGAGAAGATGCTGGCAAGAGTTCCGGAGGTTAGCATTGCGAATGAATTGAATAATAATTACTCGCCCCAAATGCTCAAAGAAAAAATGAAGATGGGAAAATAGTTGCACGCTGCCCGAACAACATCTGTGAGTCGGTATATTACAAGAAACGAGTGATAATCGACATTGATCGTCATCGAAATCTTTCTGACCAGCCATAATGCAAAAACGCTGTCGACAAATGCATCTACAAGTGTCTCTATATGACAGAAACGTAGAGGGCCAAGGCGGACGTAATTTAAATATACGAGACACGAAGATCTGCCAAATTTGTCGCATAGTAGAACAACCAAGACCAAATGTTCCACGACACTGTCTTCGAGGAGCGATCTCTGACCGGCGGTACTTGGTTCATAATAAAACGAAAGATTGTGCCATTTGCAGTAAGCTGCGACATCAGGTCACCTCATGTGGCACTTCAGCTTCTACAGATGAATAAAGAGAAACATTAAAATTAATTGAATCATGCAACCCAACCAAACAAGCTGAAAACGGAGAGAGTGGACAATTCTACAATTTTCGAATATTATCTACAACTTTAATAACTGACATAATCTTTATACCTAGATTGATGATAATTAAGCACAAGTACTATTCCGGCTCGTTGCAGAATTGCACATGCGATTTATTATCATCACAATGACCAGAACGAAGCAGTAGTGCCATTAGCGTCGCAATGACGCCACCTCCGCCGGCAACTTGCTTGAAACTGCCTTATTACAATATTGACATACGCCGTTGCAATATGCTTTCTTGCCCTAACGCCTAAAGACTTGATGGCTATGCTCTGCTGTGATCAATTCCTTGAATCCGCATCACTGCGAATACGAGAGACGTGGGTTGCGTTCGTATGGCAATGACAGTAGTCGAACTGCCATCAAAGCTAGTCATCTTCTTGCGTGCAACATTTTCACTACCGCGCTCTTTCCGCTGACCATTAACAGTGGCCCTGGCCAATTGGTGCAGTCCCATATCAAGTGCTATCGTCGTCGTCTGTAGCGTCACAAACGCGATCGCTTTCGGTCTTCAGCGCTGGTCAGTCCATTTCCACAGAATTGTTGAATGCCTTCTATTCTAAAGAGATGATCTGGTATAAAAACGTTTGCAAAATGTGTAAATTACATGTTGCCGCCACAAACGGATTTTAAGCATCTTATTTGGTAATTGTTTATGAGCTCGATAATCAACCAGTGAATGTCGTAGTTCCCCTAAGATCTAAGGAGATTTATACTGACTCTAGAAACATAAAATATCATATAATAATGAACTTATGGCATACTTTTCCTACTAGAAAATGTAGGTACGTGAAGGCGCTATTGAAAGCGTGAGTTCTCTCATCGAAAACGACGAATGTGTCACAGGCTGAATCAGAATATTTCAGCTTATGAGGGAAGCTAATCGACCATGTTAGTGCAATATATGGAGCGAAAGCGCTGATTTTCGTATGTCATGGGTGCATCTTCATCTTCATCTTCCATCGCCGCTTCTCCTTTCGGGTCGCGGAGGCAGACGCGTCAGACAGT